TCTCTCTCTCTCTCTCTCTCTCTCTCTCTCTCTCTCTCTCTCTCTCTCTCTCTCTCTCTTCCCATACAGTGCGCTCGGATTCAGATTAATTAATTCCTTACTGCATGTACCGTATCTAACGCGCGATTGCTTGATTAAACGCAATAACGGTCCACTAAGTTACACGCGAGGGAATTGCAGAAAACATGTGGGAGAATTGATTCCTATTGTGATCCTTCATCGTGTGCAGGTTGGTTGATGTCTGTTCGGATATATTTTAATAAATATTTAAAATATCGCAATAGAACCCAATTGAAACTTAATCCTTAGTACTCACGATGATTTTCTTTACTACACATAGTGGATTATTCGTATCTCGGATTAATTTTCATCACTTTAACAAATATGAAAAAATTACACAAGCATACAAAACATAATGTTTGATCTAGAAATTAAATCATGGTATTCTTATATTTTGACGCTCTAAAATCGAATTCCGATGTCCGAATTATTCCATTACGGTACAATTTTTTTTATCGACACAAAATAACTCGATTTTTCAGTATTTTTAGAGCTATTTATGGCCTGGTTCTTAATATACAAGCTGAAGTAAAAGAAAGTAAGTCCAATATACAAGTTTATAAAATTAATATACAAACTGATAGATTAAAAATTCTAGAAAATAGAATTATTTTTCGTCGATGAAAAGAATATGATGTGATGACAATTTGGATATTGAATTTGATTTTAGAGCTTCAAAATATATAAAAATATCACAGTCTAGGCTCCAGATAAAAAATTTTTTTTGTGTGCCTGTATTAAGTGATTCTTACATATACTTATTTTGACTTATTTATCTTTAAAAAGTATATTATAAAGTTGTGTTTTCTAATTACTTAATGCACCTAGTTTTTCAAAGAAAAGAAATGTACACGAATAATCCAATTATGTATATACTAAGGATAAAAAAAGATACATTTCCAATTACTTTTTATGTCCCGTATTCTATAATTTAGTATTAATATTTCGTGGTAATGCTGTTCACACATTTCTTATCGCGGTATAATATAGAAACGAAATCTGCAAATGAGTCGCTGGAGTGTATCTGGCGCATCGCTATGAGGTATCCCCTCGATAATCCAATGTAGTCCGCAAAATAGTCTCGGAGAGAAATCTGAAGGTAGACTGGAGACATACTTAACAATGGTGCAGCCATTGTTGAATGTGATTTAGTGTGGCGTTTAATCGGATCTAACTTGGTGCCTTCGCTATATCTCATGCCACTAGCAGTGCTTCTCTGCGACACCGAGGATACTTAGGACGCTATTGTAATTGTTGTACCTTGAATTTGTTGTTCATCCTTACAAAGTTCTTTCTGTCAATTTCCAGAGTTTTAATAAATAATTAACAAGTGTAATCGGCAGATTACAAACAAGTATATACGAACAAATGTATACGGCAGATACACGGAATAGATACACGATTTGCTCCATAATAATGTTTGAAAGTACAAAATATATTTGTATAATACTACAATAAATAGGATAATATTAATTTTCACAATAGGGATTTAATAACACAGAAATTTTTTAATATAACATTAATATTTAGTGGTCAATTCTAAGCAGAATCATAAGGCTCGTAACATATTCTTGTAAGACTTGTAAGAACTTACAAGTACTTACTTATAACTTTATGTAATATCTTTACAAGACAGCTTCTTGCTAGATAAGATAAGATTTATCAGAAATCGTACATATTTATGATGATGCGTCTTATAGTATATACGCATAAAATTACAATACAGTCATAAGTTCTTACAAGTCTTACGAAGAACAAATTATGAGTCTTATGATTCTGCATAGAACTGACTCATTAACTATAGTAATCTAACAGTGAAAATTAATCGCAATTTAATATCGTAAACGCATTATCATTCCACGGCAAATGCAGTACATAAAATTGTGTCTCGTTTGTTGAGTTTTCTTACTATATAGGCACTCTACCCTAAATTTCAATGGCTTGTTCGAACCTCTAAGAAGAGAGATAGTACTCCAACTGCCTTCTTGTTTCGGATGTCTATAATACGCATCATCCACCACGTCATCCGTACTCTTTTCGCGAGATTCTATTCTCTCCCCGGAAGCACAAAGCGCATCGCCCAACATCCTTTGTTGTCGCGTATCGACTTTATCTTCTCATCTCCTCTCCTACGGTAAGTCTCTTTTTCTCTTTCTGTTCCCTTAACACATTCTCTTTGCTTTGTGGAAGTCTCTCAAAGGGACTGGTCTTTCTTTCCAAGAGTTCTCTTTGTTTTCCGGCGTACGGAGCTTTTTTCCTTCCCCTCGCTTCTCTTGAATCCCAATCACCTTGTCACGGTCTAACTATCACTAGCAAACACTGAAGCTTATTGCCGGAGAGTTTCGCTACAACAAGTAGTGGCGACTCGACGGTAAACGAAATTTTAGATTTATTTATTCACACTATTGACGTAAGCTCCAATCGGGGACATTTCGCGAACCGGTTTTACTTCAATCGAGAAAACTACTTTCCTTGCTTTGCCAATATCGTTTCAATACGCTCGTTAAAGTATATACTATCGGATCGCACACTTAACACTGGGGATTCTATGGCTTGACGATAATTCTCTCTTCTGTTTTCTCTTCTGTTTCTTTCTGTCACTTTGTTTCTGTTTTTCCTACGAGTTTTTTACGACGAGCATTCAGGTTACTGAAAGAATCAGGCTTCTCGCTTGAGTTCCTGTTCTGGTTCTTTTTTTTTCATTATCAGGACTGTGGGGGATCCTGCCGGAACCATCGGGACCAGGCGGAGTACACGAATCTCTACAAAAAACAAAAGAGAACGGGACACCGTCCGCAGCACACGTGCTAATTACGATGTCACGCGATCTCTCTGGAAAAACGTTCTTGTTTCAAAAAATAAATGGCAAACAAAGCGAGACTGTTTTTCTCTGATATGTTATATCGATGTCTTCCTCTTCTTTTTTTTTATATATAAGCAACAGCTTTCTCTCATATATCCGATGAAAATTGTATAAATTGTGCATTATTGACGTAAACTTTACAATTGTAATTTTATTTTGTAATTCATTCTATTAATCGTTTGCCCAGGAACATAAAATGTATTAATCAATCAACATATTAATGAGGAGTATAGAAAATGTAAAATGTCTTACTTAACTGTATCATTCTAATTTTCCTTTCCTACTCTTCCATTTTTTCCTTTATTATCAATTTTTTCAGATTATACTTCAACACATGATATTGTGCTCTTTTTCTTCTTTCTTTCTTGGAGGAGATGTGATTCGCCGACGCTTCTGTAATCCACAATTGATATATCAAGACAAAAAGAAAATCAACATGGTTGTTACTTTTGCACACGAAATCGCTCTAAACCATCTTTAATTGAGTACAGTACATTAATTAGACGTCAGAGCCAACAAGTAGGCGAAGATGTTCTCAAGCGTTGCACGAAACTTGGCGTATGAATAATGCATGCGCATCGTCACTTGTCAAAGTAAACGTCGCGATTGTAGCAGCGCTTTGTCAATTTGCGTAAATGTGCGTATTCTATAATTAGTTCGCGAATTTCCAACCAGTTCGAGTCGTACGCAAGGCGTCATGTTTTAGGCGATAGATCGTTACATTTTTATCGACTGAATGCATGCAAATGGATCATAGACCTTTATAGGTGTCACCTGCAGTTTTGTTTGAAAATATTCTTTTTTCACGCACCATGCGATAGAATCTCTCAATAGAAATTCAAAGATAATTCTAAGCTAGCAATGGGATTTCTTTATAAATTTTATAAATGGAACAAATATGGAATTGAAAAAAAAGTATTTATTGTTAT